TATTGTGATATGTTGTAATATATTGTGATATCTACAGCTAGACAAGTTGAACGATCAACTTGCCCAGCAGCCGGCACATATGTGCATACGATGATTGCGATAGTAGTTACGTGCGCATATAGCCAGAAACGTATTAGCATATAACCGACACACATGAGCATACGATATTTACGATAGCAGTGATTTGTCATACATGTATAGACATGCTAGCATGAACAGAGGTAATTTGTTGCCAGCTTCCCTTAGGTGCATCTGTTTATTTCGCGCGACTGGCATATACACAGCACCAGGTGCTCCATCACATCAATACAAATATAGACTTTGTTTTTGAATACAACACGATTTAGGCTTCGATTGTCACAATACAATATTGGGCTTCAAATGCATTTCTGTGTCATATAACTATATGCTACATGTGGTTGTTTTCTCTGTGTAACAATACATCGTTGGGTTGCAAATACGTTTCCATCTCGTGTGTAAACACAACTTGTAGTCAGATATACTTATATATCATGTTGCGCTTCCGTATTTCTGTCGCGTATATGACGCTTACGACCAGGTCGTAACTCTCATGTCAGTAAAACGTTATATATTTCCTACCCTCATTTCATGTCAGAAATATAATTGCTCGTCGTATATTCATACATTGTCCTTATTACATACCCTCATTCCATGTAGTAAATTGCATCTTTTGGCGCGTATTCATCCTTTACACACTCTCATATACCATGTCGCAAATTCCTTTCTTTTGTTATATATTCCCCCATGACATAACCTCATTTTTTGTCGAAAATTCCTTTGCTTGTCGTATGTACATCCATGACTTGGGACGTTGGGGCTGTTCCTTGTGCAGGAGGCGCTAACGTTCCTGGGCTCAATGCGCTGTTGGAACAGTTTGGTATGGCCTTCGCAGGAGATGTACTGACGGGTAAGGCATAGATACGTAGCAATAGTTTAAGGGTTTAAGGGTTTAGAGTTTAGGGTTCGTATCTTATAAATCTGGCAGTAATTGACAATACACGCCGCATTCCGAACTCCCCCTGCGATACCCCACAGTAGCACATGTATACATAATGAATACCGCATGTCGTTCCCAATCCTACTCGCTTAGAATCATATTTGTATTATATTACCCATATAGAGATATGTGTCTTCACATATTACACATACATACCATTTAAGTATGTGTAATTTAGATATATATCTCATATCCACATAAGTATAAATTCATAAGGACATATTACTGATACCCATATAAATAGGTGCACGTTTAAACTTAATACTCATACCCATAAAAGTAGGTGTACGTTGAAACTTAATACTCATACCCATATATTTAGGTGTACATTTAAACCTAATACTCTTACCCATTTAAGTAGGTGTACGTTTAATCTTAATACTCTTGTCCATATAAGTAGTTGTACGTTTAAACTTATTACTCGTACCCATATAAGTAGGTGTACGTTTAGACTTTAAACTCATACCCACATACGTACCTAACCATCTGCATACATTTCTCAATAAAAGTGAGTATGTATCCAAAAATACGTATATCACTACTTATCCAACCGCTATTAGGTACATTTGCTACTGGCCCCCATAGTAAGCTGCATCACTACAGAAGTGGTACGAGCATTGCTCGTTTCCCACGCGATGGGTATCTATTATCTACCCCGTTAGAGAATCAGGCCGGGCATATCATGAGAGCTGCCTCTTACACTGCACGGCAGGTAAGTTAAGTGCGCGTGATGATGAAAGAATCTATATAAATATATATATATATATATGTATATATATATATATGTAAAAATATACATATATATATATATACAATATGTAGATCTCTCTGGGTAGAGCGGTAGATATGTTTATAGGCGAGAAGGAGTATATCTAATGAGTATATCCTTAGGGAAGTAAAGGTCATAAATAACCAGTCACCAAAATATATCATCATTAAGTTAAGAGGGACTCGCTCAATGTTATTGGGCGTGTCAACATGGCCATCACTATCGGAGAGGCCGCTAGTCCCTCTTTTTAAGAGGGGCTCATCCGTAGGGAAGGACATGGACATCCCGAGGGATGATAGAACCATCAGGAAGGATGTATATATATATATATATATATGTAATATATATATATACATACATATATATATATATAATATATATATATATATATATATATATATATATATATATATATATATATATATATATATATATATATATATATATATATATATATATATATATATATATATATATATGT